GKMMGGRAAWTKGGRWWAAARGAGGCTGTGTCCTCCATGAATTTGAGAGACCMCATRGGAAATGCCCATGACCTCTCCCTTTATTCRTGAATAAAGATGCAGGWCTCSTCTGTCTCCTYTTTGGACATAAAMCTCTGGTGCTTGTGRACTMATTTTCCTRACAAGTGTGAGCTTGGGGCTGGCCTGAGCAGCAGCAATGGGAACGGGGGTGAAAGCTGTGCAGTGTCACCTGATGGAGCYGTGTCAGAGGGCCCGAGAGGAGGCTGCTTTAACTGCTGCTCCTGTCACAGCTGCAGGTCAAGGTTACAATGCTGAGCTGAATTCCACACATAAYAAAGCCGGTATCTGTTGACTCTCACAGCTGATTGTTTTGGAACAATAATTTATAGTTGCCTCCCTGGGTACAGAGAAGTGAACGACAAGTTGGATTAGCAGCGCACAGCCTTGCCCTGAGGACCTGCAGCTGATGACTAAACCACCAATTCTGCTGCTGAGAGCCTCTACTTCGACACCCCTGGGGGCAGAATGGAGGATATTTTCTAAGCATCAATTGTGGAAAAGCACTTCCCTTTCCGGTCCTGCACAGGGCCGGCAATTAGCTCGTCCCTCTTGGGCAGGAAAGGAGGTTATTTTAAACAGACACRCCAGCTCTCCTGACGGAGGCTCAGGCTGCTGACCTAGTTAGGAGCTCTCCATGCAGGGCAAATTAGTTCAGCATAATGCAATATGGGATGCAGGAATGATCAGYGTGAACACTGTGACTTTGATCTCAGTGATGGGAAGGACAGCATTTCACGTGACACCAATCTTAGGGCATTATTCCCAGCACACTCCAATGCCCCTTCCTTTATTAAATGCTCTTTGGCTTTTGTTCTCCTCTTCAKTTGCTTTTGAGACAGGAAGATGTAGCTCAAATCGGTATTTTTAAAAAGGTGGGCATTGATCACTGACCTTTCTTCTAGCAAAGGTTAGCTGCTAAAGATCACAGAACCACATCACCCTTTCTCAGGAATGGCCATATTGCCAGGATAACAGAATCAGGGAGAAAAGTACCAGCTCATATAGAGTAAATCAGCCAAAGAGAGCCTTGGGGACATTGCCACCCCTCTGGCCAGTAAGCAATGACACAGACCAGGAAAGTCATTCCTCCACTCTTCTGTGTTCTCAAAATACTGAGGACAATTCAGCCTCAGCCTGCAGAGAAGAGTGAGTATTGATGTTTCAACACATTGAACCTCACTCGTCTCAGAGCTGTGCAGTAAAAAAAGCCAAAACCACCAAACCTAGAGGCAGTAGATAAGCTGCAACAGGGATACCTCAACTAGTTAAGAAAATACCCTACACATCTCAACAGCAAAGGTATTAAAATGTTGAACAGGGCAATCAAATTTGATATTGCAATCTGCATCCTGGAAATACTCAAAGGCACTGAGAAACCAGGCCTAACTTCAGAGTGTGCCCTGTCTTAGCAGGGTTAGACCAGAGACCTTCAAATGTCCCTTCTGATCTAAACTGTCTTGCTGACTTACTGGTCCAGGCTGTAATTTGGGATTTTTTTGCAGACAGGAAGAGATAGCAGGTGAACAGGAAAGAGATATAAGATCCCCCAGGGAAGAACAAGCTTGGCAAATAGCCTGGTTTGGCATTTTGTCTGAGCCTCACAAGAGACTGACATGGCCAAAGCACTTCACAAGGGTTCCTCATCCTATGGGAGAGACAAACATACACAGAGAGCAAATTCACAATAGGGTCCTCCTAGGGAACAGAGGGGCGAAGGATTCAGCAGGCACAAACCATGCCCTGGTACTCACTAGGAAGGTGATGAACAGTGCATTAGATCTTCTTTGGGTCAGAGATTCACAGTTAAAATAAACACAAGGTAAGTATGAAATTACTTTATTGGAAAGTTTCATACAAGAATAGTCAGTCAGAAAAAATATTCAAGTGTGAAACAGTAACACCACAGACAAGCTCCTCCCACATCTCAACTTGAGGCCAATTCATTCACAGAGAGCTACTGTCTCATTACACTCAGTTTTTCAGAGACTTGTGATGTCAGTGAGTTTCAGTGCAGCACAGGGAGCAGTCTGTCTTTACATCAAATAAAATTAGCTATGACTGCAATTTTTCCTGTGAGAGGTATGAAAGGCCCTKTAGCTCTGTTGAAAAGCTCTGTTTGCAACACAAGGCATCATTCCCATCCAGCCCAGCTCATTCAGAACACTGACTGAAAAACTGTAACAAAATAGWCTGCCAATAAAAATCTTTTAAAAGGCCAGTATAAAAAAGTTGAGATATATATATATAGCATAAAGCTACCAAAAAGTGACTGTGCCATTTCCCCTCTTATACAAAATAGTATTTTTTTTAAAAAAAATCATAATACATTAGAAATGCACCCAGTATATAACATATTGCACCTTTCCAAGGTACTCTGTGCAGCAGAAGCYCCATACAGTACCTGGGCAGCTCCAAGACAGACCAGAAGCTCCCCTTCAGTTGTGTTTGTCTCTACAGCARCTGCCAAGAATTTGGCTACTGCAGTTTTAGAATTTAGGAATTTCATTTTAGGAAGCTGTAGGATGGCAAACCAAGTGTCTAMAAATCACTACCATTCCTTTTCAGGAAAGAGAAAAACCCACCACAGGAATCTCTTGATTTTTTTTTTTTAATATCACATATTACTTGTTGCTGGTGTCAGTGAGACAATAGTTTAGGATGTTTGCCTGTCAGTTTTTACTTGCAGAGGATCCCTTCATGTGCCAAAGAGGTACCTGCAGCAGCTGTCAGTGATTTCTAACAAGAACATACAGCCAAAYCACAGGAGCAAATAAAACCAGGTCAGTTTACTTTGTTTCATTGACAAAACACTGTAAGGCACCAACAGACACAGTGTTGTGAGCCTGCTATCTGAAAATAATTAGCATTGATTCCTCAATCCAATTTTCAGTCACCTAGAAAGAAGAGCAATTCCTATCTTGCCCCTTGCTTTTCCAGGCACAAGATTCAGTCCCAGTAACCGTGCACAGCTATGCAGAAAAGGAGCTGAATTCCCAGGAATTGAAGATACTGCTGTGTGAGAAACCCACCCTGAATTTGGTCACTTAATCTTCTCGAGTAACTCCCAGCAAGAACTTAACTCTCTGTAGAACCTTGGAGAACACCAGCAATGGGCTTTAGATTTGAGGAAGTACCAATCAGATGACTTGCTGCTCCATGGAAAGAGCACTAAGCCATCCAGACACAGGTAATAAAGGGTTGGGGATTTTCGTTAGGGGGGATTTTTGTTGGCTTTCTTTAACAGAGAGCTGGCAACAGCCAGAGCCCCTCCCTGCACGAAGCGAACAAAGTTATCTCCTGCCAGAGGTCCCAGAGCATAGAGCCCTTTCTCCTGAGTGCATTCATAGGTGAATGGATCCACATCTATGGGATTCCTCTTGGGATTGAYTGGCTGCTCACTGTCCATTGCCAGGTCAATGCCATCATTTGGCAGAAAGGAGAGGTTGGGGTTTGAGCCCGTCAGAACAAGAGCCATGGAAATTTTATAAGCTTTCTGACAGCCATTCTTGTCTTGGAAGATGCATTTCTTGTCCTTGCCAAAGGAGAGCACGTGATGCTCAGGAAGGCTGATGTAACGCTCATAGGGCCCAGCACAGGCAGCTGTCTGTTCTTTCATCATCTGATGGACTTTGTGGTATTCRGGGTACATCATTTTGGGGAGCTGGTTAAAAATCAGGCCCGGATCGCTGACTCGTCTCCGAAAAACATGGATTACTGGGATATTGCAGTGGTGAGCAAAGAGAATGGCATCAGCAGCTGTCAGACCAGCACCTACAATCAAGACTGGATCTGACATGATGCCAACACTGTTGTTCTTCACTGCTTCTTCCAGGGCAGACAGCTGGTGGTGGACATAGGAAAGGTTTTCTCCCTGGACCCCGAGCCAGGTGGGATTGTCGTACGTTCCTGTAGCCAAGACCACATTCTCTGCATAGATGGAGAAGGGCTCCTTATCACCTTCCATAGTTTTGAAAAAWCCATCCACCTGAAACACCTCTGCCCTTTGCTCATTGGAGCTCCAGAGTGAGTCAYCATCCTCCTGCAGATCTTTTCTGGTCTCTGTGCCCACTTTCCTCACAGAGGTCACAACAGTGCCACATTTGAAATTCTTGTGCAGTCCTTTCCTCWTCACATAGTGTTGGTAGTATTGAGCAATGTCCTGTGCTGTGGCTCTATTGTTTCTGAGGCCTCTGCAACAGAGCAGAAACAAAGGTCAAGCAGCAGTTAAGTAAGAGACTGGAATTTGTCYCCTCTTCCACTGAATGTATCCTAGAGCCATCTATCCTGGCACTACCAGAGAAGACTGATCCAGTTTCCCCAATTTCAGCAAAGTTATTCCTGTTATATAGAGCTACCAGTCAGGTCCAGAAGCTGCTGGACAGAAGCAGCTTTCTCTGGCATTAATTCCATCCCCGAGAGCATGATTGTATATTTAAGCATTCCTCTAATATCTTGCTCCCATTCCATTTTTAACTCCTGAACTTCTGAAGACTAATTGTTACATGTGCCAGAAGAAGAAGCACCTCAGAGATTGCACAGTAGCTGAACTGATTCTATTTATCACTAGGGACAGCAGCGGCCAGGTGGCCATGCTTTTTTTTTTCAAGCTTTACTCAGAACTCATGGTCACTGATTCATTTTCCCAGTGGGTGTGGAGAAGGACACATTCCAAGCAACATTACAACTTTATATGAATCACTCAATGTAGAATGGACTYGGGGTGTGGGAGGGTGTCCTTTCTCTCACTGACATCATCCATAATGGATGAGTAGCTACATTCAAGAAGTTTATTCCAGGTTCTCTAAAAATTTCCAGATGCTTGCAAATGACGACACCATGGATATCTTACCTTTTCTTTTGCTTCAACCATTCTTTGAAAGGGAGATCTGGCAGTCCCATCCATTCCCCTCTGCTCAGGGTAACCATAGAGCCTTCTATAGACTGGAACAAGAAGCAGAGAAAAATTACTTTAATTTTTTCAATGTAAAAAGTGGAAGGCAACTTTTTCATGTTTCAGTATGGCACAGATCATGACACCAGTAATTTCCTCTGATCTGCTGTCATGGAAAAAACCACCCATGTTTTCCAAAAAGAACAAGAGATGGGAAATATAAAGGCCTCTCATGCTTGTTTGTCTTTTAAACTTGCAGTTGTCTATAAATATAAAATCTAACGTGGCTGACTGGCATTTTAGAGGAGCTTTTATCTCGCCAGTCAACACATTTGGCTGTTCTACAACACACAGACCCCAACTGGCTCCAATTCACTTACGTGCCAGGCACCTCCAGGAGCATTTCTGCCAAGGACCAGGTGGGGGATGGCTCTGTCAGGCTCCTGCCACCAGGTGAGCACAGATTCTGCTGTCCCACCAAAGTCYGTGTCTGGACGCTGAAGAGTATCAAACAGGAGAGCCACAGGGCTGTGGGATCGTCCCTCCAARCCTTCAGACAGATACTCCAAATCCTAAAGAGAGGCAGAGCAGATGCTCAGAGTGCATGTAGTGCCCACAGCAGACTGTTTGTTACTCCAGGATCTCTAACCAGTGGGTTTGCTCTGCTGGAAGCTCATTTACTGGCACACAGACCTGTTCTTGCCCGAGGCCTACCTCGAGGATCTTAACAGCAATGCTGGCATTTCATACAAGGAGGTCTGGATTACAAAGCAAAATTTGCTTAAGGCTCATTCTGTCTGTGTGCTTTGAAAATCCAAAYGAGGYTATCAGTTATGATACACCCSTGGGATGCTGTACTGGGATGTCATACTGTTTATACAAACCTGGTCCAAAATGGAGACTTCTGGTGCCTCTTCCAGTTTCCTCTGAAGAATAGGATGAGGATGAACAGAGTGTCTTTTGAAGTAAGGGGTGTAACCTGACAGCAAATATGACAGACAGATGCCTGAAGGTCCATTCCCTGAAAAGACAATGGAGAGGAATTTATACTCCTGCAGATAGAGCATTTCTTTCAGAAGCTAGCTTCCTAATATCAAGACCAATTTAAAAGATATGACACTCCTATTTCAGGTTGACCACTGACCTATTGGATGGAGCTGGGGGAGTCATTTTACCTTTCTCCTTCTCACCTGCATTGCAAGGTGCTCAGAACATGCTGAAAAGACATCGGGTTAAATAAATCAGTCTAACCTCACCTGACACTTGAAGTGTCTAGCATGGTGATGAATGGAGATATTTCTCTAAACTCAGAGGTTTACAAACTCATCCTGTACTGACCAGGGGCCTCAGTTCTCCTGGAAAAACATTTCACACCAGTGCAGAGTAGTTCACTGTGCACAGRATACAAGATCCAGACAAGAGAGAGACTGTTGAAGTGAAGGGGAACCAGCTCTTCTCAGCAAGAAATTCCATCTTTTAAGGGATATTTGACAATAGCAGCTTTGACTAACAGGACTTGAGTACACTTTCAAATGGGAACCTGTCCTACCATGGTACTGCAGTGTGTTAAGGAAAAGGGCTCTCTGCCATGCCAAGGCAAATCCTCAGAATACAGCATTTGAACAGGTTGCTGGATGGCTGAACTCCTTCTGCTGACCACCCAACAGCCAGTGAGAAAACCAGAYAGATGTGACTCCCCAGCCCAGTGAGAGCAGACTGTAGAAGGTTTACCCATGGCTGTTGTCCATGCTTTACAGTGTTTAATGCTTTACAGTGTCTGCATAATGAAGTGTCAGCCTGTYTGGCTGCTGTGCAACCAACATTCATGTGACAGTGCAGTGACAAACAGGGGAGGAGAGCCCCAGTGACAGCAGCCTGTTGACACAGTGCCTGGGCAACTGGAGCAAAGGCTGATCCTTGAGGATCRCAGAAAGAGGGAGGTCAGGGCTGTAAAGCTAGCAGTGAGCTGTGTGAAAGGCAGAACATGTCATAGCTGGGGACAAAGTCTGCTGTGCTCAGCACGGAGCAGCAGCTGCAAGTCAGTGTCTAGAATATTCCACTTGCAGGAAAGTTAGCCAAAACCAACAGCAACAGGCATCAAAACCAAACCAAACTGCAGCTATAGTAAAATAGAACAAATCTCAGGTTACTACATTGCATTAGGAGGTGCAGGGGGGTACCTGAGTCAAACTTCACCACCTGAGTGCACAACACTCAGCAGCTACACACAGAGGATTTACCCTGAGCCACAGCTAAGCTCAATATGGATGGTCACAAGAACAGCTGGGGCTTGAGCGATTTTCCAGAGCAACTCTTCCATGAGGCTGCCAGCACTGCACAGCTGAGGGAACACACAGCCTTCCTGGAGCAGGGCCTGGGGAAGCTGCTCAAACCTTCATGCAGTGTCCAGCTGCAGTSAAACAGCTGGGCTGCTTCAGTCCAACAGCCTCCCCCGAGGGCACAGCTTCACACTGGCTCTTCTGAGGCTGTAGTGACATCTCTGCCCTGGATCCCCGGACAGGTGCACTRGGGAGGTGCCCAAATATCTTCATTCCCAACCCTAGAGACTTGTACAACTGAGCAGCACAAAGCCCCTCTCAGACAAGGACCTGGTGTAGTAGTATCCTTGTCAAAGGTGCTGTTGGCAGGGATCAGGGGTGATTTATGCAGTGCTCTAACCTTGGAGCAGCTCTCTCGKGTGCTTTGAACTCGCTGCCAGATAAGGAGGGAACCCAGCTCTGCCAGGCATGGAACACAAGCTCAGATGAGCAGGGTCCAACACTGCCCTCCTGCACAGCTCATGGKCAGTCAGAGGGAAGGCAATGACATCATTACTTGAACTTTGCTCCAAGAATCACCTCACACTGCAAAGCTCCCTCTTGCAAAGGAGACAAGACAGTTACTAGATAACCTGGTTTCTTATATTGGTAGAAAACTGCTTTCTTTTAGTCTATTAAATCTGTTCAAAATCATTGTAGCTGACTCACGTTTTAAAAGAAATCTCTGAAAGTTTCAGGAAACTGTAACAGCATCTGGAGTACTTTCTAAACAGACATAATGGGGAAAAAACTCACATAAACCTACCCTCAATTCAAGATCTACAGATAAACTCAGCAAGTTGATTAACTATCTGAACCAAAAAGATTTCAAATCTTTCCAAATATCCAACAGAGAAAAAAAAAAACAGGCCCTAATGAGCTGATGCAAAATAGGTTATCAATTTGACCATTAAAGATAGATATGCATTTTAGTTTGTCAAATATCTTGTTCTCCACTTCCCACAACTCTTAGTGCTCTTTCTCTCAGTATTACAGGAAGTTTGGCTGTTTGGGGAAGAATGCAGAAACAGTGGTCAGACATTTCTTGTTTGAGTGAGAACATGAGGAGCAGAAGTTAAAGACAGCAAGTCCAAGGCAACAACAGCATGAGAGAACACAGCAATGCTGGCAGGAGAAGGCTTACCTATGATCACAACAGGCAGTGTCTTGAGCCCACTCTTAYTTGAGGGTCTGGTTGATAAGGGATACATCTTCGTGTCTGGAAGCATTTATGCTCTGGAATGTACCTGCTGAAACAAATAAGTTTTGAATTATTTGCCTTTTTTTACAAAAAAAAAAAAACCCCACAAACAAGAAAAACCCTGCAAGACTTTCTCCAGTCCACAGGCTAATCAAAAGTATTACCCTTGAACTGCAGACTGTCACATTACACTTCCAAACTCAGGACAGAGCTCYTTATCTTTTTCTTCTCCTGACCCCAAAATCAAAGGATGATTCTCTGATTATGTGMCATGAAATGGGGAGAGAACAATTTTAGTAACCCTCTGACTACATCAAATGAAGTGTTGCAGGTTTTTAATACAAACTTCACTTCTGACTACACTGTGTAGAAAATTGCATCATTATTACAAAGACTCTTTAAAGTTAACTTGTGCATTTACTGATAAGGAAAGTAAACCTGACTCAAGACTTCTGCCCAAAGGCTGCAAATCTGGCTGCATTTTCAAATAGGTACCATTCCATCGCTACAGGGGTTTTTTGGGAAGTGCTAGTTTAGGTCTGGAACCTCCTTTGTAGATTTTCCAGAAAAAGGAGAGTTCTAGGTCTGAACAAGTAAGCAACAAGTCTTTGAACAAAATACACACCATCATTATCTTGGAGATGAAGGTGTCRTTAGARTGGAATCTAAAAAACTAATCATTAKGGAGAYAYTCAATGAAGAGTGAATGCTTTCCCCATTCCTGCAGGAATCCTACCATGTCAAATAATTACTTCATTAGTTTTCCACGGAATTCAACTTTACGGTCACTAACCTAGAGAAGTTATTTTACCACAATTAACATTAGATTTCTGAAATTCAGCATAAGCTTTCAAGTTATTCTACAGAAAAAATTCTCTCTTATAAAAACCTGATTCTCATTTTGGAAAGCTAAGCAAAAATCCATGAATGGCCTGGCTTTGCTCAGTTGGGCCATGCTCTCCACACCCTTTTCCAAGTGCAGAAAGGTCTTTGGCAAGCACACTGCACATTTCCATAAGGCCTGGCACATCACTGCCTTTGACACAGGCATTGCAGCAAATGTCTTCCTACAAGTGTAATGCCCTCTTTAAGCCTGACATTTACATCACAGCAACTCCAGCACAGCATAGGACCCTGGTCAGTGAATGGGCAGCCAGGAAACCAGCAGCAAGTTTACAATTTGCAGATTCCAGGCTCAAGCAGGAGGTTTGTAAGTGCATTTGCTTGCAAGGATGTGACAATTCTCATACACACCCATACACAGCCATGGCTGGGCTCCACAGTTCTGTTYCAAGAGGATTGGGTTCATCACATAAGGCTCACAAGATTAATTCAAAACCAGCAGCTTTGATCACATTTCTGGATCACAGTTTAGTTCCAYTTACTGGTTGCCTGCTACCRTTTAACTTAAGCATTATTCTAAGAYGCTCCTGCATTTTGYCTGACAGGGCACGARCCACTTAAAGTCATAATAGYTGTGCTTTCTAATTTAAGTAATTTGAAGCATCTAGCTTTGAAGAGAGYTGGGTCTCAAGGAARCTTACATTCCCAATTTAATTGAGACTCAAAGGTAGCWGCATTCACTACAGRAGGTGAACTCCCCTTAGGGCACATTTATCCCAGCCCTGGAAGCTGTGASAGCACAGCCCAACCATCCAAGGATSTCCCCAGCCTTTTGGGTAGGTTCTGCCACTTTAACCAAAACTCCACCACCTTTCAGCAGGCTGTGGTGTAAATTTACCCCCAAATAATTTCTTCCCACAAAGTTCCAGAGTTGCAATTGTTAGAATTCAGCACTAGCACCTGAGACTACAAGAGACACCAAAGGAACAGGACACTGGTGTGACCAGCAAGGTGATCCCCCCAAACCAGTAACTACAGCATCCAGCTGCAGGTCAGCAGAAATTTCTTCTCCCTGATAACAAATAACCCCCTCTCCATGACTGTATTACACAACAAGAAAAGTTCTTATTATTTTTTTCCTAAGACAGAGTACACATCTTATTTCTGTGAAACTTCTGGGAGTCTGGAAGAGGAAAGCAAGACCTCTGGAAGCAATCTTCCAGGTTTCTGCTCCATAACTCCCTGCAGCAGCATGCACAGAAAAACTATGTGCATCCTAGGCAGTGGTATCCCAGCAACATCCGTGGGATTTTCACTGGAAGCAAGGGCTGCTGAACCACCCCACCAGAGCACACGGCAGCAGTTCCAGGGCAGCAGCGGAGCCAGCACAGAAATAACGAGTGCAGCCCGTCTGTAAGGCGGGAGCACAAAGTCATGCTGCTCTGTGCCAGGGTTTGTCTGGGGGAGCCTGAAGGGGACAAAAAAGGCACAAGGCAGGAGAGCAGACATCCTGGCAGTCCTGTTTACACGAGAGGGAGGTAGGCCTGGCTCCTGGCCATCGCACTGTGCCTCCCTTCTCCACCCTGATAAAGCAAGAGCCAGCAGCCGCGAGCTCACTGATAACTCCCTCCTTTCACCCTCCTCCCCCTCCATTCCGTACCTTTCTGTCACACGAAAGAGGAGCATTTTCTGGAATTAAAGCAAACTTTAATAGCTAGAGGAGCACAATTGTTAGTCTGACAAAATTATCGGATCTGTGAGCATTTGTGACAATTTTTAGCCAAGGATTTATTCAATATCTGGGTTCACAAAATCCCTAATGACATTTTAGTGCTACACACTTCATTTCCTGAAGGTTTGGCACTGACAATTTTATCAACACAAGATTAACTATCCTAGCATCTCTCTATAAATGGGAGAAGCCCCTTTCACGTCCTATAGCTGCCAACTCTATAAATCATCCTTATTAATTATTTTTTTTAAATAGAAAGTGAATTAGGTGCTGAACCCATTTATAGCTATTCCCCATCCTGCAGGCTAAAGGTTTGGCTGCGGGGGATAAAGCTGAACTCAGAGCATCTCAGGCATTTTAGTTTCAGACCAAACATTCACTTTTGCTGCCATTAGAAATAAAGGTGGATTGTTTAATTTTTTTTTTTTTTTTTTTTTTTTTTTTTTTTTTTTTTTTTTTTTTTTTTTTTTTTTTTTTTTTAGTCTTAGACTCCTATACCTTGATAACCTGCACAGCTAATACAGTGTGGCAGAGGAAAGCCTGTTCCTGCAGAGGATATTGGACAGCAACAGGACAGTGAAGTTCATTTCAAATCTCTACTGGACTTGTCAGCATCAGGAAAAAGCCTGAGACAGCAAGAAACTCGAGACTGCTCTTCTCACTCTCCTTTTAGGTACTATAGGCTGCTGGGCACTCACACTTGGCTTAGTGACACTGAGTTTGGCTTCTGCTTTGGGCTTCCCACTTTAAATGGATGTCCCTTTCCTTCTCTTCGTTTGGGAGAATGCAGCAAGTTTCACAACTTTTCTTGCTGCTTCCAAAGCATTCCAGTGTCTGTGTGATGTTACATAATTGTTTCTGGCTGAAAAGCACCCAGCTCGTTCTGGGCCAAACTCTGCATACCTTCCTGAYACAGCCTCATGTCTAGAGGGACTATAACTCACAAAGTTGGTCAGTGTGGCTTTTACTAGTTCCAGGCTGCAAGACTAAAACAGGTTTTAAGTGARCAAATGAAAAAGCAAAGATACATTTAGCAAGGCAACGACACTCTGTGATCTTTAGAGAAATAAAAAGCCAGGTCACATCAGCCACGTGAAAGTAGCTTTGCAACAGCCATGAGATTTTGCTAAACTAAGAACCACCAAGTGTGGCCTGAACAGCACATGGGGAGAGTTCAAGAGAGAAATGCAGTCAGGGTATAAATACTGGGGGARATTAAAAGAGCTGCCACAACACCAGTTTTAAAGAACAATTCTAACACAAATTGTAACATATTAATTATAATAACATATTAACATAAACAATTAATTGTAACATATTGTTACATTAACATTGTAACAATAGCTTTCTTTAGCTCCATGTCTGCATCAACCCCTTTGTTTCACCWGTTTAGTATTTAATTGATTAATACTTTTTTTTTTAAAAAAAAAAGCAGAGATCTTGACAGCTTTCACATTTTATACTTCCCTACAAGTTTCAGAAATTGGTTCCTTTCTTGCATTATCACTCTTAAATGTCAAACCAGTTATCCCGCAAACACAATCAAAGTATGTGGAAAAAAATTCAACTTTGTGGCATGTAACAACACCTTTCTAAGAACACCCCTGTGACACTCAGAAACGGATGTCAGGGTACACCAGACAGAGCTCTCTGTGCTTACTTGGAGCCTCCTTACCTTTAGCAGCAGGTCTGATGAGAGGTGGGATCTTTATGAAAATGATTGTACAGTCAGGAGAGCCAACCAAACTAGATTCCAGAGCCTGGAATCGCCTGTCTGCTCTCAGACAGCTGTTTAAATATAGTAGGCAACCAGCAACAAGAGAGCAGAGGAGGAGCCAAAGTGACTGGAGGCGGAGCAAGGAAAAGACTCATAAGCATGAGTCAGCAGGAATATTCCATCCCGRCTTTGAATGAATGATGCAGGGAACTTCCTTAGTAATGTTCAGCTGACTTGTGACTGCAGCAAAAGCAGCTTTACAGGAGCCATGCATGGCAAAAGTCCTGCATTGAGCAAATATTTCCATTTTTAACCCTCAGGGCATCATGGATGTGTAGTGGGTCTGAAAATACTGATTTCAGTTTATATTTCTTTTTCTTCAGTGAGGTAAAGTGTTATAAGCCTTTTGCACAGTAGCAGTAAAATGAGTCACAGTGCTTCCTGTAAAACTCAGAACCTTCCMGGGGTTTCATCCAAGGTATCTTACTCAATTCAGGGAATAATCGATCTAGTGTGCTAAATTTAAAGTGCCCTTCACAAATTAAATACCTTTATGCCAAAGAGCTCAGTTCAAGTAGTAAATGCAGGRCATGTTTATCTCTGAGACCATCTGTTTGGAAGCCACAATTTCCAGGAAATCAGGACTGCTGATACGCAGTTAAGATGCATACTTTCATTCATGTGATCTAAAAGATAAAAGCAGTTCATGAGAAGGATTTCTCTACTCTCACGACYCACATCAGAGCAGAATATTGAATATAACGCTCTATTTTAATTCCACCAGAGTAAGTTTTTTTAATAAATGTGAAGCCATTGTTTCAAAAATGAAATCAAAGTTTAACTACCCTTCGAAATATCTGACTCAGTAAATACTGTCAGACTGAAGTGGGGGAGAAGGGGGGTAAGGACTCTTTCAAGTTTCCTGGGCCTTTATCCAAGGTAGCATTTGCAGAGAGCTCTTAAATAACTCAYACTGATTTTTTGACAGCAAAGGCTTTCGTATGCATTATTCAGATATTATTTGGCATGTTACTAATGTGCCCGTGTCAGTCAAGAAAAAATTAAGTTTTCAGAGAAAATAARGCATTTGTTTGCTTAGGTGATTTAAGACTGCCTTGTTACTGGGTTTTTCAAATCTGTCTCAACATATTGCAGTGTTGCGTGTCAAACATCGTAGAACAAAGATGCTCAAGTCCATACTTGCTGATACCATAGACACAAGAGAAAACCATATATGATGCTTTGGCAGGCTTTGTAATAAGGAAAATAAGGAATGCTTCCTACTTGTGCAAATCTGCAGAAATAAAGTTGCCCTCTAYATACAAAAATAGGAGATCTAGCAGGAAATCTCCTGCTAGAATTTATAAAAGTAGAATCTGTATTACTTTTGCTAAYAAACCYGRGATGTCTTTCCAAAACCACAAGATCTGTCATAGTTTTGTGCACAGTACAATTYTTTACAGGAAAATGTTCATGTACAATAACCCACTGTCCYTTWTTTGCTTGYACAAWAATATCATTGAACACAGCAATTTGGGAGCTTCTTTTTTATTGATATCCCAACAAACACATCACATGGAATATACATCTATCAAAGTAACTGTTTCTCCTTGTGTACCTTGACCACAAACAAATGATTCAGCCCAACCCTAAACATAAACTTTCTAGAAGAAGAAGTAATTGAGCAATCTGCACTTGGCCTTGCAGCCAGCCCTTGACCTACAAACACAGACAATTCTTTTTTTTTTTTTGTTTCTCTGAAATGACAAAGCTATTTTCTTGGTGCACAGATTTAAGGACAAAGCCATAGCACTGTTCTGGGCAACATTTTGCACCTGAACCAACCCTGTTTTCCTTAGAAAGAATTTTCCTTGTTACTTATTGACTTCTCACCTCAAGTTATGTAAGCTCTACCTGTCCACCTCCTACTCATGAAACCTGTCAGATAGCTCTGATTCTGCTGTCTCCTGATTCAGGGAGCTTAAACTCTGGTGTCAGAATTCATTGCTGCTGACAGCTYGTGGCAGAACCCTTCCTACAGCACCTCTGCAGCATCCACCCTTCCCTCTAGCCAGCCTTAAGGTGTACCACACTCTGTGCTAAATTATCCTGGCACACTACATTGTTTCACTCATAGAACTTCATGTTCTGTTGGTTTTTCATAATGAGAGRAACACTCCCAGTGTGATCCTCCATGCGCCACAGCAGTGCTTTGATGTTTCTCTCAATTATGGTAAAATAGAAATCTAAAATTCTGCATGTTTTCTGCCTGAGAGAATATTAAGTGTTCAGTTCACACACACACACGGAATGCAGATCATTTAATCTAAGACAGAATACAAAATCAAGTGTTTGGAAATCTGATCAAGTATTTTGGTTCCATATGGTCTCTRTGCAGTACCAAAAACCCAAATTCACTTTGTTGCTGCCYAAAGCATCTCCACCTTTATCAGTCAGGAAAGCTTWAAGCTGTATTTCCCAAACCAGAACCCCCATATGTAATGATAATAAGTGGTTGGATATCAATACTGTAACAATTTACCTGGTTTCTTTTCATTTCAACTTAAGAAAACCCACATTTGTCACCAACAACACAACCCAGACCCCATCATGTCCCCTGTAAATGTTGAGCCTTGACCCAATCAGAAGCACCAAGCTGTGGCCATATCACCCTGAGAGCAGTTGGTGTCTGAAATAGGTGACTTGTTCTGCTAAAGACAGAGGTAAAAAAGCCTGGAAATCCCAGACAACTGTTAGGTCTGACCAAAAAAGCAGCTTAGGCAACTCTGMAAGTATGAGACCCCGTTCTGCTCTCAGTTAAACTTGTGACTTCCTACATGTGTTTGTGCTTTCACATGGCTTCCTCTAAAGAAAGATTTGGCCCAGACCACATGTCCTAACTTTCCCATGTCCCTGCCAAGGCCATATCTGTCCTGTGTTCATACCTCTTTTTGCAGTGTTTAGGCAGCTGGGTCCAAGGGAAGAGAAGCAAAGGTTCACTGCACCCTTTTGTTGTTCACAGGAACATTGACCTCCCAGTCAGATAAATGATTGAAACTGTTTTGTCTTAGTAATTTGGGAAATTGAGGGGAATAAAAAGCAAAACCTTACATTTTGCTGGAACTATTTTTAAATGGTGATTTTTGCTTTTCCATGCTTTCAGCTCATTACCTTGAAATCATTCCCTGTCTGTTACAAGCGGGTTGCTTTCCTAAAGCGATGAGATGAAACCAAAGATTTTCACCAGTCTTCATTGGCCAAGGGCATCAGCCACATCCACCACTTTGTCTTGAAAACAACTGTTAAAAATAAACAATCCCAGTGCTCAGAAGGGCTGTGAAGCTCTGCAGTCTGCATTCATGCAGCCATACCCTTGGCTAGYGTGCAGTAAGGGCTGGTGTGGGCACTGCAGTGAGCAGTGCAGGGCCTTACTGGGATATCTCACACCTCCTCTACACCAGGTAAGGGAGCAAGAACAGAGAGCACCAGCAGTGATCAGGATAGCCCCTATTAGACCCTCAAAGAGATGCTCCTAGCAAGTGCAATACTATCAGGTATCAGTGGATATTTTTCAAGAATAGTTTCCATGTGAAGCATCCGTGTAGAGAAGCAGCAGAGTGCCAAGTGGCTGTGCAGGCATTTCCTTAGAATCACCATTTCCCTCCTCAGATGCTGGATGACAGCCAAATCTAGGGTGCTTTCTGCTTCCCAGCACATGTGCTTCCTTTGAAAAACKAGTAGGATGCAAAGAGGTGCAGTCCTTAGGCTCCAGGAACTACAGCCATGCTTGTTTCCCAGGACTGGAAAACTCTTTGTGGCCCAAATGCAAAATGCAGAGGAAAGCTCAGCTCATATGCTCTGCCTTCAGACTCCATCATGAGCTCCACATTGATATTTTGGGGAAAAAGTAAACACATGCACTTTCATGTCAAACAAACAGCAGCCATGACCTAGTCAAAGATTAAACTACACATGAAACTGGTAGGGAATTTTCCACTTATCTTAATGTCAATATATTCCTAAATATTTACATGAGTTCCAGATAGCTGCATCATTTGAAGATACAGCCTTTAGCTTCTACAGTCTCACAGTCAGTGTTTAGTAATGTTCTTTTAGACTACATGGGCATTTAGGAACTGATTAATTTAGTAAACTGCTGTATAATATTATGGTGTGTGCATGTACCCCAAAGCACAAAACATCCTACAGAAGTTAATGCTCATCCATTCTTGGGTGGAATAATGAACAGAGAAGAAAACTTGAAGTTGTAGGTACAGTGAACTGTGAGCACTGAGCATCTTCTCTGTACACWCTTTCCTTTAGGGCAAAACTGTAGTTTTCAAATACAAGCAAGTAATTCAAAGCTGGAAACGGAGCATGTGATGCTGTGAGCTCGTTTAAACTCAGTAACACAAACTTTAACAAACAAAGCTGCAGGAAGCCTTTGGAGTTTCTTGAATTAATTTATTTGAYACAGGTTAAGCCATTCTGCAGCTCTGTAACCCAACTTTAAAGTTTTCTTTATCAAGATCATGAGTCACTTGAAATCAAGATAAAGGATTTCATAGTGTTCCTCAAAGGCTTTGAAACCTGTACAGCTAAGGGCATCCAGAGCTACACAGCCAACATGTTCCATTTGGTCAAAGAAAAATAAGCTTTTCTGCAGCAGACCACAATGGTTTTTAGGTGTAAAGGTTTAGAAAAGGACTGGACTAGAGTTATCCTGCAGCTTCCTACCCTCAGGGTTTATTTTCATCTTACTCTTAAGCATCTGATTCTGTCAGAGATAACAGCAGCTTGTATCCAGGTTACCCAATCTGATATTWCTGACTTGCAACATTTCCTTTCTGCTGTGTCTTTAACAGTCTCTGAGAATCTCCAAGTGGTTTTTGCACGCAAGTCCTTTCCTCTTAAAAGCCCTTTCATGCACACCGAAAGGTCAACTGCAGTAACATTTTCTTAGACCCTAATTTCCCTCCACAGTAGCTCCATGTGCTGCAACACTGACTGCCAGCAGTGAAGCTTCAAGTCCCCTGGGACTATTCTGCATAAAACTGGGTGAACCAGGATC